GATTACATTTGACACCTTGAATATATACAATCTTTATTTGTCAACTAAATGTTTTAAAGTATATATAACACATAGAAGAAAGACTCTGGAACACACTTTGTTATCAATTTTTCAAAGAAAACTCACCGTCCACATCAGCCCTGAAGCTTTGGAAAGCAAGCAGCATGAGGGGAGAAGGCGGTCCTGGTAAATGGTGCTCACGCCCTCCTGTTCCTTTCACCACTGCACAATCAGGAGGCAACTGTGGACCCTCTTGGGCTTGCAGAGCCCCCTGGGCGGGCGGTTCGTCGTTGGTGACTCTTCAGTGTCATAAGACACCTGTGTGTAGTAGAATCTGTTACTACTCCACATGGTAAGAGAGAGGAGCTTTCACTCACTCACGCAGAATTCCGTCAGTCTGAGTTTCCTCAAATGGCCTTTGATAGGAGGCTGGTTCAACAGACAGGTGCCAACGTAAAAGAAACAGTGGTTTAGTCACAGCAGAAGTTCCTCAGAACAACAGATTGTCATGACCAAACCCCACCCAAACGGGCGCAGGCTGGGCTTTCCCTGAGATGTTCGCGTGAGATGGTCCTGTGGCCTGAACCCCTGGGGTCCAGGAGACCAGCCGGGGTGAGGCTGCTGGAGCCACGCAGGAGGAAGTCAGGGCCTGGACTCCTCGGAGTGGAAAAGACCGGGAGGTCCGAAGCCCCATCCAATCCTCGGATCTTGAATCTTGTTGTCTGCTAATGGGCACCCCTTCTGAGAAGACGGCTTTCCTGCTGCCCTTGTCGCAGCCCCATCCCCACCCGGAGGCCCCCACTTCCTCTGCCTATCCCTATTTCTCATCTGCCCATCCCAAATCAGATGATTTCTCTGGAAGTGGGCCTGGCCGCTGGCCTTTTTTAAGCTCCCAGGTGATTCTAGCATGCTGCCTGCTGGAGGGCCTGACCTCTCCAGTCCCACCTGCCCTCCAGGAAGGCTCACCTCCTCCAGCTCCATGCCTGCCCCCGCGTCTGCCCAAAGCATCCTCTTCCACGTTCAAACCCAGGACTTCTGTCCACGTGAGCCACTTAGCTGTTAGCTGCAGCCGCTGGCCCATATCATACATTTGTCCTGTCTCCTTGAAGGCAGGGCTCGGGCACTTGCTCAGCTATTGTTCCCAACGCAGGGCAGCACCCAAGACACGCTTGTGAAATCTCACTAGGTGGGCAAGGCCTGGGGGCGTCTGGGGTGAGCTGGAATCACGTCAGCTCCCGCTCATTGTGCACCCACTGTGTACGGTACTGCGTACTCAGCCCTGTGCTGAGTGTGATACACACTGCTGCTACTGCCCGGATAGGAAACCCGTGCCCCCAGAGGGCAAGAAGGTCACAGGGTGCAGCCCACACCTGGGCTTCCTCTTCTGGGAAGGCTTCCAGAGAGAGGCAAAAGCTGGATTTCTGTGGGGTTAAAAAGAGTTGGAGGGACAGACAGGAGCGCGTGTGCGGAGATTTACTTTCCCAGAACTTGAATGGAAGCTGTTACCGTCAACTTCATCTCTAAAGAGCCCTCTTGGACATATTCTAGTGTCCCAAGACAGGGCAAAAGGTCTGCTTTCATCTCTAATCATAACCATCACCAGCTTTGCCTCATTGAACCCGGAGAAGGTCGGTTCCTTCCTCCTCTTTCCAGGGAAGTAAATGGGAGACTTGGAGAGGTGACTCCACCGGCTCTGTTTAGAGTCCGGAGTCAGGCAGGACTCTTTGCGGACCAAAGCATGGCGTTTCCAGTGCTGCGGGATTCAGAGTGATGGGCATCGTGGTGCGTCATTACCCAGATCCTTGATGGCAGTAGCTTGGTGTGGATGGTTGAGGAAGAGGAGAAAGCGGAAGCTGGTGAACACCACTGAGGGAGCAGATCTTTCTCTCCCTCCTGGGAGTACAGGCTCCCTGAGGCCCATTTGTCTCTCCACTGGGTGTGACTGGATGGCGCCACGTGCTTGTGCTACCCCAGATACAGAATGATGCCACACTGCAGGGAAGAGGGCCCCAGGCATGCTCAGGAGGCCTTCACGAGCCCCAACGAGCTGGGATAAGGAGTTCCAACTCTGCCAGCCCAGAGGTTTCTTCATTGGTCAAAAGTATGTGTCCTTTCATTCAACAGTTACAGAGTAACTTCCAGTGTGCGAATCCCTGTAACAGTTATCAAGAGAGAAGACGGCTTGTAAGTGAGTGCAGTGCCACCTGGGGAGTGATGATGCTTTATGAAGGGTATGGAAGGTGCCGGGGAATCTGGCTGAAGAATCATGACAGGATTTTGACCAAGCGAGGTCTGTCAATGGGGCATGTCATTGGCACAGAGCTTATTTACCAGGCACAGACTTAGGATGTATTTCTGTCTGCCGACACGGTGTACATCATATTCTGCCAACACACACAGGTGGTGGCCTCTGACCCAGCAAAGTCAGAGGAAATACTAGCGCCAGGCATTGCCCCTCATACTCTCCAATGGAAACCTGGGAAGCTGAAAAGCACAGCCTAGCTTAGGTTCACATGTGTTAGGAGTAGGGAACCCAGAGCAGCTTCTTGGTCTCTCTCTCTCCCTCTCTGTCTTTTCCCCTCTCTCTCCACCACCATCTCTCTCTCCTCTCTCCCTTTCTCCCCTCTCTTCTCTCCACTGTCTCCCAGATTTAACTGGCACTGAGATGAAGATGTTTGAAGATGAAAGACTGAGAAGGCAAAATAATTGGAATTCTTGTAGGAGCACTTTGGCCTGGACTTGTGTTTGGCTTCTGTTCTTGCTAATATCCATTGGAGTCTTTCCTTCCCTCCTTCCAAACTATATTAGTAATAGAATCAAATGTTTTCTATTGTAATCAGCTAGCAAACATTTTTAAAATTTTTATTTATTCATTTTTAATTTTTATAAAGAAGGGGACTCACTCTGTTGCCTAGGTTTGTCTCCACCTCCTGGCAAGGAATCCTCCTGCCTCAGCCTCCCAAAGTGCTAGGATTCTAACAAAATATTTGAACCAGCTTTGTTTTCCTCTTTCCTGTTTTCTAGAAAAAAACTTATTGTGAGGAACACTCATATCTCACATATTTTCTGCAAGGAAAGAGTAAAGTGCATTTGACAGAGGCTGGGAAAGTGGAATTCTCTGATCTGAATTACGTGGACTTTTGAAACCCTGGACTTGCCTCTGGGCTATGCTCTTGCCAAAGGTGACCTTGACCGGGCAGGGACAAGGTTTTGCACTGATAGCTACAGGCAGCAGGGCCCCCACCCTCCTAGGGTCACAGTCCACACCTGGGCCCCGCCTCATCCTCTCCTTCCTTTCCAGCCCTTGGAATTCTGAGTATGATCCCAGCAACTTGGCCTTCGGGAGAAGGGCCAGGCCCACTTCCCGGGAGCCGCTGTGCTGGGCCTGGAGCTCGAGGAGCCCGGCCCAGCAAGTGTTGGGGAAAAGGTGCGAGGATGGGGAGGAGGTGCAGCTGGTGGAGATGCTGTGCCTCTGCAAAGGAGAGGGGCCCAGCCCTGAGAGCCACACTAGCCTCAACTCGCTGAGGTAATGAGTTCCAGCTCTGCCTTTCCAGAGGCTTCTTTGTTGGCAAAAATTATTTGATATTTGTCCTTTCATTCAGCAAAAAGTTACAGAGTAACTCTCCAGTGTGCCAATCCCTGCAAGAGTTATTAAGAGAGAAATGATGCAAAAGAATCCCAATCCCCCAGAAAAGTCCCGGGACCCCTCCACCCAGGGCTCTGGCCTGTGCCCTGGTGCCTCCTTTTCTCTCCTGTCCCCTGACCTTCCCACCAAAATTTATATGTTGATGTCGTAACCCCCAGGACCTCAGAATGTGACCTTCTATGGCGATAGGGTCATTGCAGATCGAATTACTTACCTTTAGGTAAGGTCACATGGGCATAGGGTGGGCCCCTGATAACTGTGTCCTTATGGGAAGGGAAAATCTGGACACACACACACACGCGGAGAAAGTCACATGAAGATGAGGGCAGAGATCGGGTGATGCTTCTACAAGACAAGGGATGCCAAGGACGGCCAGCAGCCACGCAGGTTGAGGCCTGGAACATGCCCTTCTCACCCAGCCTCAGGAGAGACCTGCCCTGCCCACACCTTCATCTCCGACTTCCAGTCTCCAGAACTGAGACCAATTTCTGTCGCTTAAGCCACCAGTGTAGGGTGCTTTTTAGAGCAGAGAGTGGGGCTCAGAAGCCAATACCCCAAAATATGGTGCTTTGTGCCAATTGAACTGAAAAGGAGTTTCAAGGCCTCTCGCTCCCCCACCCCCACCATCTCTCCCGGAGATCCTGAAGTGTCCTTATCTCCTTCAAGTCTGACCCACCAAAGAAGAAAGGTGGCCCCTTCCCTGAGTTCCCGTTAACTGAACCCGTATCTCAGGAAGGAAGGCTGACACCAAACACGCCGGACAGACTTGTCAAGACCAGTCTGCTCTGGGGCCCAGCGGACTTGGCCGAAGACTGTGGTGTACTCATCAAGCCCACCTAATCTTCCCTAGTGAGCATTGATTGTCCTCAGCTGAAGTCCTCTTTGCTCCTCCCGTCACCTGTTTCGCCAGCATCCAAGCCGCCACTCCTTGTGGAACCTCAGGAAGGTGTCTCAGCTTCCCAGCCCCATTGGGTATTGGTCCTTCATTCTGAAGGCTCCCATGTCACGTAAAACTAGGATCAAATCAATCTGTATGCCTTTTCTCCAATTCAACTGCCTTTTGCAAGATTTTTCAGCGAACCTTCAGAGAGCGGGGTAAACGCTCCCCTCGGCCCCTACACAGCCCTAGGAAGCTAATCCTCAGCCATAACATTCCATCACGAGGGCCCACAGCCACAGCGTGTGGGGGCCCGTCACGTGAGGGGGCTGTCACCTGAGGGGGCTGTGCCGCTGGCTCGGCTCTGCCTGCTGGCCAGGGCCCACTCCGTCTCAGAGATGATACACACATACCCGCAAAGAAGAACCCGGGGAGTCGCAGGCCGAGCCAGGCTGCTGGCTTCCAGTGACATCACATGACTTTGGGGCCACTGCCTCATCCTGTATCTGTGCATATGAGATGCATTGTCTCTTCCTCTGCAGTTGAGCTGAATGAATACCTCCGAAGCCGCTTTGTTCTCCAGATGTGAATAGCTCCACTATACCAGCCTCGTCTTCCTTCTGGGGGACAACGTGGGTCAGGGCCCAGAGAGATATTTAATGTCACCCTCTCGGGGCTTTGACGGGACTAACTCTGCCACATCTTTTGGAGGTTGGGAAAGTTGCTAGAGGCTTCAGAACTCCAGCCGAATGGATCCCAAACTCGGGAGAATGGTGAGTAGGACCTCCACCCTCAGAGTCTGTGCACTGGGCGCCACACTTCCATTTGTCCCAGGAGCACGTGTGTTAAGCCCAGGTGGGTAGGTCGGGCACCCAGCGTGGCCCCAGATGCTGCTCCTCATGGTGTTCTCAGGTGCTGTCTTGGCCGAGGAACGTGGTGTTTGGAATTATATTTTATCAGTAATGCTTTTGGATGGTTGTGTGTTCTTAACAATAATTAAATGGCATTATTGTCAAGTAGTTCATATTCAAATTGTTCGTGAACTCGGTCTTCTTAAATCAATTTTTTTCTGTACTTTTTCTCTTAAAAAAAATGAGTTTGCTCCTGGAAGAATTTGCCTAAATAATGGTAACAGTGTGCTGTGTTGCCCTGGTCCCAGTTTCCCGACTTAAGGGCTAGCCTACGAGAGCTAAAGAGAGCTAAACCACCGGGCTAAATCGCCCCAGGCCTTTCTCGGGGAGGTTTCCGCGGCTCAGGTGCAGACCTGAGTGTGGGTGTGGCAGGAAGGGCTTCTCTCTAGGAAAACAAGCAGGCAGGCGTCTTTGGCTGTGAGGTTTTGTGGGGTTGTGTCCCAGACTACTTGGAAAGATAAAATTCATGGACCCTTTTATTTCCATTGCAAACACACACATACACACACAGAGAAATTTTCAGAATTTTGTGGAAGGTTGATACATAGAAGACTCTCAAAGGACCCTCAAAAGACATACTGAAACAAATACATGCAAATGCGAGGCTAGAGACACAGTGAGAAGGCAGGCGGCGACCTGACCACAACCGGATTCTAGAAGTAGTCTTTGCCCACCTGCAAGACCACGAGACTCCCAGACCACGCTGCAAAATCACTGTTCTGAGAGAGAGAACCTCACCCTGTGGCTTGGCCATGCTTTCCATTGCTGACTTATTTTTTTTAAAGAACCCATGACTGGCCAGGGCACTGGGGTGAGGGTTAGAAGAGGACATTTCACTGAATACTGTCCGTCTTTTAAAAAGTTTTAAACTGTGTCATGATAGTATCTATTCAAAACATGAACGTTAAAAGCAGTATGAAAGAAAATAATTTCCCTGGCTGGGCATGGTGGCTTATGCCTGCAATCCCAACACTTCAGGAGGCCAAAGCGGGAGGGTCGCCTGAGCCCAGGAGTTCAAGACCGGCCTGGGCAGCATAGTGAGACCCTGACTCTACAACTTTAAAAGTAGCCAGGCAGGGCGGAGCATGCCTGTGGTCTCAGCTACTCAGGAGACCAAGGCGGGAGGATGGCTTGAACCTGGGAGGTCGAGGCTGCAGTGAGCCATGATCACGCCACTGCATTCCAGCCTGGGAGGCAGAGTAAGACCCTGTCTCAAAAAAGAAAGGTTATTATTTATGTTGGACTCAATATAATACCCTTTGATATGAAAGAGAGGAAGAGATTGTAATATGTATTTTCCCCTTTGCTATTCTTTTACTTTTTTAAACTTTTAGGTTTAGGGGCACATGTGCAGGTTTGTTACAAAGGTAAATTTGTGTCATGGAAATTTGTTGTACAGATTATTTCATCACCCAGGTATTAAGCCTAGTACTCATTAGTTATTTTTGCTGATCCTCTCCCTCCTCCCTTCTTCCACCCTCCCATAGGCCCCTGTGTGTTGTTCTCCTCTATGCGTCCATGTGTTCTCATCATTTAGCTCCCACTTACAAATGAGAACATGCGGTATCTGGTTTTCTGTTCCTTCGTTAGTGTGCTAAGGATGATGGCCTCCAGCTCTATCCATGTTCCTGCAAAGGACATGATCTCATTCTTTTTTATGGCTGCATAGTATTCCCCATGGTGTAGATGTACTACATTTTCTTTACACAGTCTGTCATTGATGGACATTAGGTTGATTCCACGTCTTTGCTATTGTGAATAGTGCTGCAGTTAACATTCTCTTTTTTTTTTTTTTTTTTTGAGACGGAGTCTCGCGCTGTGTCACCCAGGCTGGAGTGCAGTGGCGCGATCTCGGCTCACTGCAAGCTCCGCCTCCCAGGTTCACGCCATTCTCCTGCCTCAGCCTCCGAGTAGCTGGGACTACAGGCGCCCGCCACCACGCCCGGCTAGTTTTTTGTATTTTTAGTAGAGACGGGGTTTCACCATGTTAGCCAGGATGGTCTCGATCTCCTGACCTCGTGATCCACCCGCCTCGGCCTCCCAAAGTGCTGGGATTACAGGCTTGAGCCACCGCGCCCGGCCGCAGTTAACATTCTCATGCGTGTGTCTTTATAGTAGAATGATTTATATTCCTCTGAGTATATAACCTAGTAATGGGATTACTGGGTCAAATGGTTATTTTGTTTTTAGCTGCTTGGGAATTGCCACACTGCTTTCCACAAAAATTGAACTATTTTATACTCCTACCAACAATGTGTAAGTGTTCCCTTTTCTCTGCAACCTTGCCAGCATCTGTTATTTTTTGGCTTTTTAATACACTTATTTGACTGATGTGAGATGGTATCTCATTGTGGTTTTGCTTTGCATTTCTCTAATGATCAGTGATATTGAGCTTTTTTTCGCGTGCTTGTCGGCCACATGTATGTCTTCTTTTGAAAAGTGTCTCTTCATGTCCTTTGCCCACTTTTTAACGGGCTTGTTTGTTTTTTCTTGTAAATTTGTTGAAGTTCCTCGATGCTGGATATGAGACCATTGTCAGATGCATAGTTTGCAAATATTTTCTCCCATTCTGTAGGTTGTCCATTTACTCTGTTGATAGTTTATTTTACTGTGCAGAAGCTCTTAAATTTAATTAGATTCTATTTGTCAATTTTTGCTTTTGTTGCAATTGCTTTTGGTGTCTTTGTCATGAAATCTTTGCCTGTTCCTATGTCCAGGATGGTACTGCCTAGGTTACCTTCCAGGGTTTTTAGGTCTGGGGTTTTACCTTTAAGTCCTTAATCCATCTTGAGTTGATTTTTGTATATGATGTAAGGAGGGGGTCCAGTTTCAATCTTCTGCATATGGCTAGCCAGTTAACCGAGCATTATTTATTGAATAGGGAGTCCTTTCCCATTGCTTGTTTTTGTCGCTATTGCTGACTTATTACCATCACCTTTTTCTAATACTGAGAGAGAAAAGAAAGTCATCAATTCTGTTCTTGGGATCTTGAGCCCAAGATTGGGCAAACGCTTTCTTTTACTGTGGCACAGATCAAATGCCCACCAACAGCCAGGGTGGATCCCTGGTTGTGGCCAGGGGGACTGGATGAGGTTTGGGGAGCTGGACCACAAGATGCAGAGGGGGCTCTATGCTGTGAGCACTCGCCCTTCGGATGGGGCACGTGCAATCAGCATGTGTGATGTGCCTCCTGTGTGCTCTAGTGCCTGGGCCCAGTCACTCTGGGCAAACAGTGGTACCAGGGATGTGGACTCTGGGACCAGGAAGCTTCTCTGGGGGGAATGAACGAGGTCATACATCACTACACTTTGTCCACACTCCTTGTTTCTTTCCACAAAAAGCAGCATTCTTGTTAAAACCATAGAGTAGAACTTCTAACTGTTGATTACAAAAGGCAAAGTACAATTTAGACGAAGGTGAGAAGTTACCCATCCACGTACTATTTACTGCTTTTTTCACTAAATCCCAAACTCAGGGTTTTTTTTGTTTTTTTTTGTTTTTTTTCTCTCAAACTTTAGTGTGAGCAGTTTTAGGGCAGAGGCCCAGGAATCAGCACTTTAAAGAGCATCATCCAATGGCGTTTAGTATATTCACTAATGTGCGCAACCATCACCACAGTCCATTTCATAACACTGTCCTCATCTGACCCTCCCATTCCCCCTCCCTCCCCTTATCCCTAAACAACTACGAACCTGTTTTCTGTCTCTCTAGATTTCCCTATTCTGGACTTTCATATGAATGGTATCATACAATATGTGGCCTTTTGTGACTGGCTTCTTTCACTTAATGTAATGTTTTCAAGGTCCATTCGTGTCATAGCATGTATCAGGACTGCATCCCTTTTTGTGGCCAAATAATATTCCACTGTGTGAATATGCCACATTTTGTATTTATCCATTTGTTTGTGAGTGGAGATTTGGGTTGTTCCCATCATTTGGCTGTTATGAATAATGCTGCTATAAACATTTGTGTCCCAGTTTTTGTGTGGATATGTATTTTCATTTCTCTGGGGTGTGTACTTGGGAGTGGAATTGCTGGTGGATATGATAGCTCTATGCATCAGTGTCTGAGGAACTGCCGGACTGCTTTCCACCCTGGCTGCACCCTTTTGTATCCTCACGAGCAGTGTACGAGGGCTCCAATTTCTCCACATCCTCAAAACACTTGTTATCTGACTTTGTGATTGCCGGCATCCTCCTGGGTGGGAAGTGGTGTCTGGTTGTGGTTTGATCTGCATTTCCCAATGCCTAATGATACTGAACATTTTTTCCCTCACTTCTTGGCCAAAAGATCTACCATTTTAACAGTGACCCTCCACCTCACCCCAGTCAAGGGATTCTGACAGAGGCGCTCCACCTAAATAGCCTTTGAGAACATTTTCGACTTCAAGTATAAAGAGTCTCCCTAGATTTTTCTTGGCTTTTCCAGGGCGTATCTCTTGCTCCAAGGTTCTGAACCTAAGCCCAGCTCTTATTTAATCTAGCGTTCAGCTGATTTCTAATTAATCAATTCTGCTGTTGATTTGTACAAGATAGGAACTGGCATTCTCTCTCAAGCAACCTGTTAAAGCTAAACAGGGAGAGATTATGGCCAGAAAATACCTGGACATTCGCTGCAAACACTGTCTTCCTACAACAAGCTTTCTCCCCCTTCAGATAAAAAGAAAAAAGCCTTCCCTCTCCAGCAAGGATTGGACTAAGGAGATCTACACCTGTTTGTTCCCACCAGCTTTTAGTTCTTTACGTTAATAGACTCCCAACTCATGACGGAAGGATGCAGACTTTTCCCAGAGCCTGGATTTCTAAGTAGGCGTGTGCTAATTTTCCGCCACCCACTTCTCCTGCGCACTGTCTCACGAAGGG